TCCTCAGATCTCGCTTCCAAATCAGCCAATGCCAAACATGAATTCTCCTTCCCTCCTCTCACGAAAGGGCCTGGCTGTTGTTAAATCCACCGACTGCTGTAGCACATGTTAAAGCTCTCAGCGGAGGGCGGCGGGATTTCCTCGACATTCTCCACACTTGAACACATCCTCTCGGAGCGGGGACTTTGTTGGCCGATCCTGTTGCAGCGAGAGTAAGAGGAGGAGATGCCGAGCTTTCATGTCGGGGCTGGAGGTGTTAATGGACACAAGTGCTCCCAGCTGTGGGACGGGACGGGAGTGAGACGTCTGTCATGGTGGCCAGAGGGGCAGGCAGAAACCGGGGTTACAAGGGTATACGGTAGAGGGGGGGATCGCATTATGGCATCGAGTATAAGCTTTGGATTTGATTTATAAAAAGCCCCTTGAGAGGCAGATTCTCATTTTCAAGAGGGTCCCGAGAACAAAAAACAGACACATTACATATAATATCATTTTGAATAATGTCAGAATTTGTAATATAGAACCACATGTGTTCACTGTCATCTAACTTTGTCCCACACTGCAAAAAGTGATATAAAATATGTCAGAAATGGCTCAAATTTAGCAAAATGTTTCTTAATTTGGGCACATTCTGACTGCATTAAAACAAAATTTGCCAATGGGACAAAGCAAAATGATCTTGTTTCCATTGTCTCCCTTTGATGAGAAAATAAATGCAACAGTTCTTGAAATAAGACAACATTTCTTATCCCATTTGTGAATCTGGTTTTTAGGCTGGTTAAGATACATTTTGCCAAATTTGAGCAATTTTTGACTTATTTCTTACAACTTTTTGCAGTGCAGACCTTCATGATGCTAACAAAGAAGTATAGCATACAGTACCTTTCTACAAAACACATAGCAATACACTATCACTGATACACACAGACACACACACACACACTCACGCACACGCACACACGCACACACAGGACAGATGTCAAAACCCTCTCTGACCCTACACCTCTCTCCCCCCACTCATTCATTGTATTAGTAGTATTCAGAGTTGCTTGAGTAAATGGATGGATTCTCTTTAAAATCATGTCTATACTGTATATTTTTTGATTCCATGATTGATTTGTCTGTCTCTTTAATGCACTAGAATCATTTTTTTCAGAACTAGTTTTGCTCGTACAGATTGTAGTACAATATGCTTTGGCATGACAACACTTCCAAATGTCTTCATCATCAAAAGAAATTGGCTCAATCCAAATTTGTATTTTTATGAGCTACAGAATTCCACTGCTAAACCAGATGGAATTGGGAGCCAGTCTGGGAACGAGTTCTTTTCCCAGTGCTGGACCGTGGAGAGGGTTTACTCATTGTTCTGTGTTGGAGGCCACTGGTCACTGCAGCTGTGTTCAGAATGTCTGTAGTCAACTAAAGACAACATTTATCTTACCTGAAGAGTGGACACAGGAGCCCTCAGAACGATCATATCAGTAAAAAGTCATCCACGAGTCAATTATGATGAATAAATGATACAAAAAGAACATGTACATTTTTTAACGCATTGCGGAACCATGCTTCGGACATTAACCACCTCGCCTGGCCTTAGCCATCCATAAACCTGGTCCTTAGTGGCTGCGGTTACCTCGGTTGAATACCATCCGACCATTCAGCGAGCAACTAACTGTTTAGCTATTACAGATTCAGTCTTCCCTTCAGTCTTCCCAGCCTGGTGCAGATCTACAACCTTGTTTCTGGTGGTCTTTGACAGCTCTCTGGTCTTGGCAATAGGGGGGTTTTGAGCGTGACTGTGACTGAGGTTGTGGACAGGTGTCTTTTATACAGACAACGTTCAAACAAGAGCCATTAAAACATTTGCGGACAGAGGAAGCTCTTAAGTTGCAGGTCTGAGAGAGACTGTAACCGTAACTAAGTACTAACGTCATCATCTTTGTTGAGTGGGAGGACTTGCACAATTGGTGGCTGGATAAAAATGTTTTTGCCTCACTGGAACTACAGACCCAGGAACATCGACATTTATGGGCATTTTCCAACATTTATGGACATTGGTCTCTGCCCCTGATGGACCAAAGGCTCTATGTGTTTTCTATCACGGCATTTCTTCTGTTTGAAGTGATTGATTCTCTGATCTGTGTCGTAGAATTTGACGGTTGTGTGCTCTGAGATCAGTCTTGTTGTGTTTTAGGGCGATAAGAAATATTGCAGATTGACTAAATTGAATTGAATCTCTATGAAGCTACTGAAGAAGATGACAAAGTCTGGGATCGCGTCTTTAATTCAGACAGAAGACATGTTTTATTGTCGATGGTAGAGACAGCACGAACAAAGCACACGAACAACAGAATGCAAGTGTATTATACAGAGCGGAGGCATGGAGACCTCCAATCAGCAGCTGCCATGGTGCCATGTAGCTTGGCCTTCAGATAGACAAAACAAGGGAAAAGTACTGGCTTCTGCACATTGATAGAATGATGAGTTTAACTTTAACAAAAGTTGCTTGAAAGTGTTATGAAATCTCACATTACCTACATCCTCAAAACAAATACATTTTTTCTTGACAAAACGTGACCTTTTTGGTTCTGGACCCGGAACTCAAACGTCTCGGCTCCACTTGTGATCGCAGCCTCTCGCCCGTCGGTGATTGGAGGTCTCTCTGCTACATCTCGAGGAGAATACAGTGTTTTCCTCCTCTTTGGCCTCAACTGTTGACATACAGCCGCTGTTTACTGCTCGCTAAACTATGTGCGGCCAACTTTGAACTGGAACTAAGCTCTTTTCTGCGCTGGTCTTTGAAGCCATCGCCAAATCTTCAGGTCCGGAGTCTGACTTTGATTTGCCCAAGCAGTGTGTGTGTGTGTGTGTGTGTGTGTGTGTGCGTGGATCAAACTGCGGTAAACAAACAGCACAGGGCAGGTTTCTCATTAGTTTGTGCAATACTGGCTTCACATGAGACCTCGTAACGGCGGAAAATCGATCGAAAAAATGTCAAGTTTGAACTTGGAGAGGTCGTACGGAGAGAGATACATTCTGCGTCGCGTCATTTAGCAAAAGGCCTGATCGGGTCCATTACTTTGTCCCGATGACTTTTGCTTTTAATAGAGCTTTTAGAGCCCTTTGCATGCGAGTGATGGATGAGACACGTGTTCCCAGTGATTAATAACTAATGGCCCGAGTGAAGCTGAAATCATTAGTCCCGGGACGAGGAAAATGAGTTCTGCAAATACGACCGGTTGATTGATGAGATCTGAAATAGAGCCAGCGCTTTTTTACCCCACCTCTGGAATCTGGACATGTCTCTGTGTATTCGAGTAGTTCTTATCGTCTTGGCGAAATGGAAGTACTTAATACACGGCTTGAAGAAAGTAGTATTTGCGAACGAGTTGAATGAGAATGAGAGAGAATGCCGTCTCGTATGTCTGTGTCTTGTCTGTCTCTCTCTCTGTCTCTGTCTTGTCTGTCTCTGTCTGTGTCTCTGTCTCTGTCTCTGTCTCTGTCTTGTCTGTCTCTGTCTGTGTCTTGTCTCTGTCTCTGTCTCTGTCTCTGTCTTGTCTGTCTCTGTCTGTGTCTTGTCTCTGTCTCTGTCTCTGTCTCTGTCTCTGTCTTGTCTGTCTCTGTGTCTGTGTCTGTGTCTTGTCTCTGTCTCTGTCTCTATCTTGTCTGTCTCTTGTCTCTGTCTCTGTCTTGTCTGTCTCTGTGTCTGTGTCTGTGTCTTGTCTCTGTCTCTGTCTCTGTGTCTGTGTCTGTGTCTTGTCTCTGTCTCTGTCTTGTCTGTCTCTGTCTCTGTCTGTGTCTGTCTCTGTCTATGTCTGATATTGGTGTTTGTCCGTCTACTTGTGTCTTGCCTTTTTTAATGATTGATGCCTGTATGATTTTTGTTGGTTGCAGAGAACATTTCTTTGGCTGTAGTTGGGGCATGTCAGACCTTCAAATAATGCAAACAAAAAGAATTATGTAGTAAACAAAACAAAAATGAAGAAAGTAGTATTCGTTGTGTCATTAGTCTATTTTTAAACACAATTTGCCCAAATGGAACAAGCGCAACTATTCTGTACTTGAGTAGTTTATCGCCTGATATTAAACACAATTGGTTTGTTTCATTGGGCAAATTCTTTAAGATCACTCTTTCACTTAACACAATAAATGAACGTATTAATTAAACAGTTCCGTTGAGTAAGAGTTCAGAGTTAGTTTAGAATTCTGCAGGTTTTAATTGGCGTTTGCAGCGTGAGAAATGACATCACCATGCTTCCTGGTCTGAGTCACACTTTTCAATCAGGACCTCCCAAGCCCTGACAAGTTGACTCAACCGGCCTGCGGGGGTCACCTGAGTATTTCCAGTCTAAAATTGTCTATACACGTTAAAAGGAAAATAAAGGATCTACAGAATTATTACTTAACCATCCATCCATTTTCTTCCGCTTCATCCGTTGCCGGGTCGCGGGGGCAGCAGTCTGAGCAGAGACGCCCACATAGTTATTACATGTGCTAATTATCATGGGTCCCACATTAACAACAAAACATGGTCTTTTTGTGGTTCTTTTGAAAGACATGTCAGATGTATTGCCTGACTAACATGCCTGTATGCGAAAGCCAGATCCCGTCAGATCTCTGAAGCTATGTAGGGCAGGGCCTGGTTAGTACTGTGATGGGAGACCTCTGGGAACACCTGGTGCCACAGTGGTGCGGCTGCGGCTGTAAAGTCTGGTGTGTGTGTGAATGGTTGTTGGTGGTGGGAGGGGCTGAAGGCACATACTGGTTGCCACGCTTCTGTCAGTGTGCCCCAGGGCAGCTGTGGCTTCAGTAGCAATTTATCACCACAGTGTACGGAGACAACGAATATGTGCCTTTGAGTGTCCAGAGTCCAGCGTTCTGAAGATGTTTAGTCCGTGCCAGTTTTATTCCCTCCTTTATTCTAATGTATGACAAATGTGTGTATTATTGTGCGATTAAACAATGTTGTGAGACTCTGACCTGTGGTTGTGTTTCCGCAGCCTGTAACTGTAACCTTCACGCGCGGCGCTGCAGATTCAACATGGAGCTGTATAAGTTGTCAGGCCGGAAGAGCGGCGGCGTCTGTATGAACTGTCGCCACAACACGGCCGGGCGCCACTGCCACTACTGCAAAGAGGGCTACTACAGAGACCTGGCCCGGGCCATCAGCCACCGCAGAGCCTGCAAAGGTACCCACAATGCACTCATCCGTCATGTGACATCACAACACTCCTATTACTGGATAAAAAAGATTAAATAGCTTGAATTGAGTTTAAAAAAAAATATTAATTAAAGCACATTCTGACTGTTTTAATGTAAAATTTGCCAATGGGACAAAACCAATTAGTTTTATTTCAATAACTGTTGCTTTTCATTTCTTGTATCTTTTTATGATCATTTTGCTTTGTCCCATTGGCAATAAAAATGTGGTCAAATGAAGATAAATTTTTAGCTTGTTTTTCATCACCTTTTGCAGTTGAGCCTATAGTTGAACAGTGCAGTACAAAAAGGTGGTTTCAAACACCACAAAAGAAAAATCCACTCAATATTTAGTACACCCACCTTTTGTGTACTGTACCACTGTCACAAAAGTCCGGTTTCCGCTCTGAGTTTAGAGCTGGCACGTCCAAACTAAGGCCTGCGTGCCAATTGCGGCCCTCAGTGGCATTGCGTGTGGCCCTCTGTCATGCACAGGCACATGTCAGGCCACAGCAGCCATTGAGATCCCAGTGTCAACCAGCTAACTTCAGCTCCATTACACACAATATACACATGTTGTACCTCATCGTAAAGCTTAGAACCTCTTGAATACAGTCATTCACATTTGTTTGTATAATCTGAGAATTTTGTTTTCAATTGTGGCACAAAACACCTGAATTCAGTCAATCTTGAAGTAAAAAGGATCGCTCAGAATGAGTAAGGAAATGTGCAAACAAGATTTATAAAAGGGAAAAAATAGTCTCTTTTGTGCAAGAAATATCATGCACAATGAAATTAAAAGTGACTATCGCACTATATTCTGTAATTACCTTGAGTTTTCTTAATCATGTGCTGGAGAGCTGTGTTAAACCTGTTGAAAAGTGTGTCGTCAGTGAACTATGCAGAACTAATCTCACACACTCATTCTAAAACGGCTTTTTATTTATGTGGAAAATGGTCATGGATTATTACTTGAAACCCAACTGGACTTTTCTCTTGGCAATAAGCGGCCACGAGTGTTTATAGACGTTTCAAACAAATCCAGATTGAGATTTACAAATCCCGCTAATACTGGAATCACACTGGACTTCGGAAAGTTCTGGAAACATTACGACCGGGAAGCTCAGGTATAAAGAGCTGTTGTTTCCTTGTTTAGACGTGTGTGCAAAGCTGAGCAGTAACTTTAGAGTACGCCAGGACATGCACAGATCTCGGCAAGCTAAGCAAGCCATGCCCTGGTTAGTACTTGGATGGGAGACATGGGATGATTGCGGCCGTGTCGGCGATTGTGACCCTGGTTTTTTTGTGGGTGCAAAATGGATTGACAGATGGGCAGCTTTGATTCAGTCAGTCTGGGTCATGAATACTAGAACTCCCAGAGCAGTCAATTTGACGGCTTTTAGTTTTGGAAGAGTACTGCTTATGTTCAAATTGTGAAGTGATCTTTGTGTTTTTTAGTTTTATTCTTTTGAAAGAGGACACTTTTTTTTGCGAAGTGCTTTGTAAAAAATGTGACTGGAAATTGCAATAAGTACATAGCAATACTTACTTACCATTAAAATGTAATTATAATTTTTTAGGAATTACATTTTTACTTGGCTTCTGCACCCAACATGATAAAAGTTCATGTTCTCCTCATGTCTGTGTAAGTGTAAGTAACAAATTCAGTTTTTTTTTTTTATCACCCTAAATCACACCAGCAGTCATTTTCGGGGGACTATATAGTTGTTAATTCACCAACAGGAGAGCAGAGATTCAAACAGTTAGAAGCCAGCAAATACAATTATAACAAACACATAGCCATAGGAGTCAATGGTCCATAGGGAGACCACCCAAAAAAGCACACACTCTCTCATGGGGCCCGGTTCTGACGTCTCACTTGGATTTTCCTGGTTAAATAAAAGTCAATAAATAATTAAAATAATCATAATCTTAAATGTGTTCTTCTCAAGCTTTTCTCTGCAGCCTCGAAATGTTGGAGATTTGACATATTTGCTTGTTATACATATGTTCCCTCTTCCTGACGACCCACTTAAGTCCAATCACCCTCTGAGTGATTCCTCCGCTGCCTCTGGTCCACATTCCGGCCCGTCACCTCGGCATGGCGTGATGGGCCGGCGCAGTGGCCCGGCTCACTAACATGGGAACATTAATCACCTCCACTTGGTCACATTTTTCCGATCTGAAGTCATAGCAGCGCCGTCCCTGATGGAGATGTCTGTTTTTCCCCACGCCAAACTGTTCATTTCCTGTAATACCTGGAGCCGAGAAGAGATTTTTTTGGCTTGGCGACCCGTCTGCATCAAAGCTGGTGAACGCTCGGCCACTGCTGGGGCGGGAACGGAGTCCGAGATACAAGTCGTGATTGATCTTTGCCGTTCCAGAATCGTCAGGAGGCTGTGGCCGAGCAGCTTTTCAAATTATGGTGGCATAAACTGTCATTTCAAGAATATTCACTGCTGGATTTGTCAAGTCTCAACACTGGAACTGGAGACTGGCCTCCTGCTGGGACTCTGAGGAGCACAGGGACTGGCCTCCTGCTGGGACTCTGAGGAGCACAGGGACTGGCCTCCTGCTGGGACTCTGAGGAGCACAGGGTCTGGGCTCCCGCTGGGACTCTGAGGAGCACAGGGACTGGCCTCCTGCTGGGGCTCTGAGGAGCACAGGGACTGGCCTCCTGCTGGGACTCTGAGGAGCACAGGGTCTGGGCTCCTGCTGGGACTCTGAGGAGCACAGGGACTGGGCTCCTGCTGGGACTCTGAGGAGCACAGGGACTGGGCTCCTGCTGGGACTCTGAGGAGCACAGGGACTGGGCTCCTGCTGGGACTCTGAGGAGCACAGGGACTGGGCTCCTGCTGGGACTCTGAGGAGCACAGGGACTGGGCTCCTGCTGGGACTCTGAGGAGCACAGGGACTGGGCTCCTGCTGGGACTCACACAACTGAAGGATTGTTTCTTTACTCTTTTTACTGTACTGTGAATATTTATGATTTTAAAGGCTTGTTGTTTCTATCTCTTCAGGGCTTGGAGTTGCCTTGTGTATGAACTGTGCTACACAAATAAACTTGCCTGGCTATTGTCTCTATTTAGATCTTTTTTTTATCGAACGTTCACACACAAGTAACAGACAACTGTGAAGTTTAAGCAAAAATCCCGATTCTGTGATTTTCCAAAATACGGAAATACTTTGTGGAACCTTTTTCTGCGAGTATTTTGGGGTATGACAAGATTTGCAGATCTAGAGACAGAGAGTTCAGCCCATTCCTCTTTACAAAACAACTCGAACTCTGTGAACAGCAGTTTTCAGGTCGTTGGATTTAGGTCTGGACTCTGACAGGGCCATTCTCACACATAAATACGTTTTGTTTTAAGCATTGCAAACATTCTAAATCAAATCTGTATTTTATCTGTATCTTATGGTTGTAAAGCTGACAAACTGTGTAAGGTGTAGTAGTACTTTCGAGAGGCACTGCACTTTCACATGTAGAGCCAACTTTTCCAATCTGCTCCCAATAGTTTCTCCGGACTCCACCTCCTCTGCCGTCTGCCCTTACCTGATCTGCTCAAGCTCTGCGTTTGGTGGAGGTGAAGACCAGGGTCAGAGGCGGCTGTGGCCGAAGGGGCGAGCGTGACGTCTGTAACGGACAATAAAATACAGGTGTTTCCAAAGCGCAGAGCCGTACAAGGAGAGGGTTTGGGGAGGCGTGGGTAGGGGGACGTTTTTGCCAGGCCAGCCTCAGTGCGCTCTGTCTGGTTCCAATCAGACTCGGTGCATGGAGAGAGAAAGCCTGTACACTCACCACCAAAGCACTGTCTCTTACCTCCCACATGCTCCGGAGCCGCCAACTGCACTCAGTCTGAGAGGGCGCTTCTCCTCCAGGCCTCTGCACTGCAAAAAGTGCACTGCAAAAAGTGACGACAAATACGTCAAAAATGGCTCAAATTTTGTAAAAACTGAGCACATTGTGAACTTCTCAAGCCTTTAATGTTCTCTCCCCTGAAGAAAGCAATGTACGTTTTAATTTTTTTGATTTTCTAAGATGTAGGCGCACTAAAAACACAAATAATTAGTTTGTTTTCTTTTAGTTATAGGCCTTTAACAAATGGTTGCGATGCTGTTTGATGGTAAAAATATGCACCAATGAGATTCAGTTCCAAGCTTCAAGTAAATAGTGACAATTTGCCAACGTCCCATTGGCAAATCTTGTCTCATAAAAAAACACTTGATTCAAGCCATTATTACCTCATATTTTATCATTTTTTGCAGTGCGTACATTCAAATCCTCAGTAAAAACCAAGCCATTCCAGGCCTTCCAAACATGGCGGCACCGTCTGGGCCTCTCCCCAAGTGTTTTTTAACGCGATTTCAGAGTGCGGTGTCATGTAATACAGCTGGTATCTGTTGACCCGAGGGAACGCTGATATAAAGCTGGAGAATCAGGCAACAGAAGCCAATGTAAATCGTGGTGGGCGGCGGACTGGCTGTCTAAAACAACAGTGCTTTCTCTCACGGCTGCAGCGGGTCTGTCACGACACAAGGAAGAACTTTTAGATACAGTTTGACGCTCGGGCTGTCTGTGCTCAGAGGGACAAAAAGGCCGGGAGAGATTACAGTGAAGTTGGACAGATATGGACAGTTTTTTACAGTATGTGTTTGTACACTGGGGTAGTCTTGCACAGTTTTTCCAATGTGGTTTTACTGCAAATGGCAAATAAATTATTGTGTGTCTTGTGTATCCTATATTCGTCCCACAGTGGGGAAGTTTCAGTGTTGCCTCACAGGTTACAGAGCAGTAGGAATGAGGAGCACACAGCATAAGATAAATGAACAAAAAGTCTAAATAAATATATAATCTCTAGCTTTAGCATAATAAAGAATTAAGTCTAAATTATATGACTTTAGCATAATAAAGAATTAAGTAAGTAATGTTCGTGGGTTTCATATGACGTCAGGGCAGTGGCGCAAATAACAAACGTAGGACAGGACCGGATGTACCCTGGCGGTGCAGTCTGCCGGGTTTATACACGGAGATATAGTAGAAGAAGAAGCATCTTTTTGTGCGGTGTACGCTTGTAGCAACCGCGCAAAAAGAGAGAAAGACAAGAGTTTTTTCCGTGTTCCAACTGTGGTCTCATATAAAGGAGGACACTTTGAAAAAATCACTGGACTGAGGCGGGCGAGGTGGATCAAGGCTTTCCCAGATAAGCGCCCCCTGCAGGCCACCTGAATGAAACACAGCAATTTCTTCTGTTTTTCTTTACGAAAATGCTCAAAATTAAGACTCTTTTGAGAAATATTTTTTAGTACTCCCTTAGAATTGAGTGTCCCCGATTAAGACTGTTACAACAGCCATACACCGCACAGGAGGAGAACCTTTTGACTCCAAAACAGACTTTACATGGGTTTTTAATGGGAGCAAAATTGAGTGGTCCCATCTCTGCTCATTCGCCCCCTACAGGCCAGATTAATGCAACACAAGAATAGGGCATGTTTTGAACGCAGATTGCATACGGCCTGAAATAACTTATATTTGGCTTCAACATGAAGGGAAATGTAACCAATTTTCCTTTTAAAATAAGTAATGTTTTTAGTCCCAACATTTTGTGAACAAATCAGACCTCCATAAGTTCTCTCTCACCGCTTAATAACATTTGTTCTTTTCTATAATTTTTAAAGAACCCTTTGAGTCACGATTTGACTATTTGAGCTGAGATGCTTCTCTCTGTTTCACTTTTATGTCTGAAAAAGCGGATCCAAAAATAAATGCATGTGAAAACTAGAGATGGATGGATTTTATTTTATAGTTCTAGTTTGGTGGTTTGAAAGTTAGGTACCCCAGCTTTAACACCGCCTTGTCACGCTCTAGAAGGGAATATTTTAGGCTGAAAAGAGTTTTGGTTTAAACGTCTGGTGCGATGTTAATACGAACGGCCTTTCTGTTGAAAAAACCTTGCTTTGTCTGTACGTGTCACATTGACTTTTCTAGATTATTTATTATTGATGAAGCTGCATATACAGTGGGGAAAACAAGTATTTAGTCTTCCCATTTAAAAGGACTTATTAATTATGGGTAATACTCAATTGTAAGAGAAATTTAAAAAAAATATCCGTAAAATCTTCTTTTCCTATTGTATCGATGATAAAAATTACAGACATCTCTGAGCTTTTTTCAGTTGGGAGAACTTCCAGTCTGTCTTTAACACTCCGTCTTTTTGACTCCTCCCATTGGAGAAAGTATCCCAAAAATGTTCAGTTTTCCACCAGTTGCATTAAAAGTAAGCAATGTATAAGGTATTATATTTTATTATACCTTTTCTCAATTTTACTAAATGCTAAAACAGGTGAAATGCTAAATGCTAAAGACCAAATGCTAACTGCAGACGGTAAACGGTGTCTCAAAGATATTTTAATACTTATAATGACATACTTACAGATACAGATACATTATGACTGCTCTGGGAATTCCAGTGTTAACTAAATCCTTCTCGCTGTAATAGTCCATTGAGAACATATAACCGTACATTAGCGTTCCAGCAGCCATATGGACACTTAGCATAGCAAGTCTAATCAGTTAAATTGGGCCTGTCAAAGACTACAAATCCCACCAGGCTTCTGTCACGTCTGCAGCCGCTCGGGCTTGAAAAGTCATCAACATCTGAGGACGTTTTTACTGCTCCTTAACTGGCCCGAGCCCCTGGCCATAAAAGTTCACACAAACAGGGTGAGCCGAGGTGTGGCTGGAGGTGCCCTGGACGTCCTCTGTAAACTCCCCCTGTTTAAAGTCTGCGATTGTTTAGAAGGGAAGCGAGATCCTCCAACACACGGCCTCCATGTTGTTTACACGGCCCGGGCCTGACAGATCAGCGCCGCTCCGAGCCTCCACGAAGTTTATCCCATGTGTCTTTTATCGTTAGGCAGACCATCTCTCACAGACAGCTCGGCATCTGTCCGTGTGTTTACGTTCGCTCACTGAATGACTGCATGTGCGAACGCCAAGTGAGATAATGATATAATCAGTTTGTTCTGCTGCCTTTAGATGTGGACGTGAGGGGTGATCAGCTGGGTTTCATTAGCACTTTCTGCAGGACGGATCCCAGTCGTGCTCCGATGTGGCGTCTGGTTGTATCTGGGAAATAGCAGGAGTACAGGGCGAGCAACACAACCTCATTCAGAGTCCACTAAAAAGATATTTTTTCATATTACTGGATTAATATCAACACTCCGGACAGTGGTGATGATGCAGGACTCTCACCATTCTACCACATTTATGGACATTGGTTATATGCCCTTTATGGACCAAAGGCTCTATCATTATTATATTTACTGTGTTTTAATTGATGGATTCTCTGATCTGTTGTTGTCAACAGCTTAGTAAAGTCTTCCGACATAACGACTGTTGTGATTTAGGGCTATACAAAAATAAATAAAATTGAAATGACATCTCTATGCATGAGCCCCCATTTCCTTAAAGTTGGTGTGCGTAACTTTCCCCCTAAAAACAACACATGTCTTTTGTCCCAACCATAGACTGTATATATTTGCAGACGTAGTCACGGCTATCTCCGCCGTTCTAACTAATGGGCCAAAAATTGGGCTTTCATGGAGTGATTCAAAATGGCCGCGGGGGCTGGAAAATGCGAAAAAACGCATTGGCTAATTCTCATTCCGGGTCCGGCCCGGGGTGGTATTGCAGCATGTCAGCGCATGTCCCAACAGAAAGAGTTTTGTAAAAGTAGAAATCAGAGCACACATAGACAACATCTTTTGCATACTTATAATAATGAGCCCTGTGAGTCGCTATTTGACTCTTTGGGCTGAGAGCTGATTGGCTGAGTGAGGGTGGTCCTTTCTCTGTCACTTTTCCACCTGAAAAAGCAGATCCAAAGATATTGCGTAGTTCAATTTCATATGTTTTAAACGTTCTATTCAATTCAGTTCAATTACATTTTTGTATATCCCTAAATCATAACAGCAGTTTTCGATTCCTCAACAACAGATCAGAGAAGTTCGAACACAGAAAATGCAATAAGGACAAATCTAAAGGAGGGCTGGTGCCGCCCTGACTGCCACCTGCCGACCCAGAAATGGATTAAGGGGAAGAAAATGAACGGTTGGACATATGGAGCCATTATCCATACATCATCATTACTGTCCTTAGACTCTCCTGCTTCGACAAGGAACGACTAAAATAAAAGACAGTGGGAAAAAGTGAGAAACCCCAAAGTCCCACAATGAGAGAGGTATTTTCTAGTTAGGTGCCCCAGCTTTAAAATAACACCTATATTTATAAACGCACAAGATAATGGGTCATGTTGATAGCTGTGTAGCGTCTGCCCATTTCTTCAATCACTTTGAAGTCTGATAAACTTACTCCGAACCATTAGCAGGAGTTAAATGACATTTTCGAGTGTAACGTAAACTATACAAGACTCAGCTGGAGAAAAGTTATGGTCCAATGCAAATAATACGGTACACACAGACACACACACACACTCAGACACACACACACACACGCACACAAATATATACAGTATCTTAGCACAACTTTAGAACACGTACATTTTGCAAACCACCCTCTCATCTGGAACGTCTCAGCCCGGTCCCATCGAAGCGCACTGACCTTGTCTCTGCTGTAGCGTCAGATTTACACACGGCATCAAAAGCGGCGCAGCTCTCCGGACACCTGCCGACCTGCCGCCGGAACAAACCAGCAGTGTTCTGAGCCTGAGTTAATCCTTTTAGTCGCACACCATCAGACGGGGTCACTTTCAGCCGTTTGACCTCTCGCCTTCTGCATGGTCGGCAGGTGGTACAGCGTTCAGTCTGTATTCTATATGTTAAAGCTAATAAACACAAAGCTGCGGTGTTGTAGCAGCTGTTGTGTTCTGGCACACTCCAGACTAAACTGTCAAACGACTGGGTTTTCCCCCAAAGTGGAATTCTGGTATTGTTTTTGCTTGATAGACTTGGACAATTACAACTATCACATAACAGCCCAGTCACTCAAAATCTTTTTATTCTTGACTTAAAATGCCGAACAAATATTAGTTTCCGAGGCAATCCAAGATGTCTGAGGCGCAGACTTTGGATGACCCTGTTGTCATTTACAATAACACTTTGAATGTCCTTTTAAACCTGTCCACGGGGTTAAGACAAACACTTTGGAATAGCGGCACAGTAAAAGCTGTGACATCTTGGCACGGTGCTGTAACCAAAGTATTTCTTGTTACTGTTGGCATTTGTGTGGCATCTACTAAACCTTTATTTCGGGAAGTGATGAAACCCGCGCCTGTGTCGCCAGACTCCACACAGCAGTTATGAGCTCAGGAACAAGCAGAGGCCGGTCATTACCAGATTACACTAAACATGCATCGACACCGTATCATTCCAGCTCTCTTCATGACTAACAATCACACATTCCCTGACTCTTCCAGCGTGTGACTGCCACCCAGTCGGAGCCGCGGGGAAGACGTGTAACCAGACCACAGGCCAGTGTCCGTGCAAGGACGGAGTGACCGGCGTCACCTGCAACCGCTGCGCCAAGGGCTACCAACAGAGCCGCTCGCCTGTGGCGCCCTGCATCAGTGAGTACAACTGTTCATGTCAATGCAGTACTGCAGGTCAGGGCGTCAGGCCGGGCCTCAGAGGGCAGCTGTGGCTGCAGGTCAGGGCGTCAGGCCGGGCCTCAGAGGGCAGCTGTGGCTGCAGGTTTTAGTTCCAACCTGAGAAGGAGCACAGCAGAGAGGAGGCCAGTTTTAACCTGGTTGGAGTCTTGTGTTCTCCTGCTTAACTTGGAACAAAAACTTGCAGCTACACCAGCCCTGGACTCAGTTTGACGTCCTGTAGACAAAATAGTTATGAAGAAGGTGGATGTTCCAATCGTAATAAGTATTACATAAAAATATTACATTATGTAGTTATGAAGTTATGAAGAAACTCCAAACCATTTCATTGAGTACATTCACTCAGAATGAAAGACCTTTTACTTAGACCCTACATTAGACAAGTTAAATTGAGATCCATACCAGGACAGTGCAGTTTGCACGTTTCCCTTACTGTTATATGGTTTCTTCCAAGTACTTAGTGTTCCCCTAATTCTAAAATGTTGGTCAGGTTAGACCACAGTGCAGTGGCGCAGGACCATCAGGCTGATCTACAGAGCCCTGCTAAATTATTCCTTTGAACTTTTCTCCACAAAGAAAAAATATAATTTATAGCAATTTTCTGACAAAGACCAGTGGAAATAGGCAAAATTATGTGATTTTATTGAATTATTTTGGCCTGTAAAATGATTTACCCCCCTTTTATTTGAATGCAACACATTGCCTTGAAAAGTTTGTGATGCCTCAGAGGTTTGAGATGAAGTTGAGGACACGTTTAAATCAGAGTGAGGTTAAACAAATAACAGAGAATTGTTAATCATCATCCGGAATTGGAAGCCGTCCTGAACGCATTATCACTCCACTGTAAAGTGTCAGGGTTGATAGGAAGATGAATAGGACAAAATACATGTCAATCTTTGAAGAAAAGCTGCTGTGGTCTGCAAAACATTTGAGATTTACCTTCAAGCAGAACAACAATCATAAACAGTTCAATAGGTAAGAAACAAAAACATGTGTTGGACTGCAGTCAAAGTGAAGGAAAAGAAACCATTCACAATGACAATGTATAAAATGTCTACAAACCAGAACCAATAATACATATGAGAACTTTTGCCGTAGTACTTTCGCAGTAGTATGGCGTATCTATGGTGTGAAGGCAGTTTTAAAATGAACAGATTTCTCAGTGTTTACTCAGCGGAGGTTTTTGTTTTAAAGTAACCCCTCAGCAGCTTGTCAGGCGATATTAGCTCATTGTACGAAGAAGCCAAATGAACCTCAAAAAGTAGCTACACAACACTCTCCAGCAGTAACACCCTGCCCTGTGGTGGCGTGCTGGTGAGACGGGAGATTCAGAGCAGATGGCTGGCTGGCACAGGCCACAGCAGCTCCCAATGTGTTTGAGTGACACCGAAATCAAAGTGGCCGCTCCGAACAGTGATGCTAATGAGATCCGCGCGCCTCACCACCCATCGAGACCCCCGAAAAAAAGACAAAGCTATTAAGCAGCCAATTAGTATGATGGCAACAACCCTAATTTGAATGATCCGCCCTTGTCTGTCTTGGGCACGCAGATGAAAGCCCACCGGACAGCTGTATGTCCACAAAAGCTTAGTGATCGCGGCCGTTTTTTGTTATAGTGGCGAGTCCGTTCATTCAAAGAGAGCGTGCTGACGGGAAACTCTCCAAGAATCTACCCTAATAACTTCACCCCTCGCCACGGAGGTACAAGCTCTCGACTCCAAATCCAATCAGGGAGGGTTAGCTAAGCCGCTATATTCCAAAGTGTGGCTATGTTTCGCAGCCTGAAGCGAGTCGGTACGGCATTAGCATTTGTATGAGAAAGTTGTGGATTAGCAGAAGTCCTGGAGGAGGTCCACGGCGCGTCGCGTTTTGGGTATAGCCAGCGGGCATCGCACACGGGAGGCCTACGACTGTCAAGATGAGCCCCTCCAAAAAAAAAAAAAACCCCCCTCTCCACCATCTGTCCGTGTGCACGTGCATATGACAGGGAGATCACACCATACTGTAGCATATGGAGAACATGGTCGAAGGATTGTGTAGAAAAAAATATTAACATGAATATGAAGGGAGAGATTTAAAGAAACAAAGATTTGGCTGCAGGTTTTCACACCGATTAAGTCTGGCTCCGCCGATTTCCCCAAGTGAGCCCAGTCTGAACCCGAAGACCTGAAATCTATGCGTGCTTTTCTAAATGTCTTCTAAATGCTAAAATTGCATTGTTGTTTTGCAGGGGTCTCCAATATTTTTCAATCGTAGAGCTACTTTAATACAAAAGAAGTCGTAGTAAATATCTATCTAATAATTACGACAAAACATGGAGACAAGTAAAATATACCACAATACATTACAGTTATATGTAATGATGTAAAAAATGTATTCATTCAATATCATTTGTTTAATTTTAAAACCTTTGGCGAGCTACCGGAAAGGAGCTGGCGAGCTACTGGTAGTTCCCGAGCCACAGGTTGGAGACCCCTGTTGTATTGTATTGTTGTCAGCCGGCCTTGTATCCTTAAACACATAGATAAATGAATAACTATTAATAAGGAGAAAGGTTTTTGGAAAGTCAGGTCGCAGTAGTGAGACCAGTCTTGACCTGAAGACCTGGGGAAATGGGTGAAGTGTGCTCCTGCTCGGTCGGAATGCAAACATGCAGCCACCACGCCAGCCCCTTTCTGCCTCAAAAGTCTTTCCTTTTTCAAGACTTTCTTCTGTTCTGTTTAATAAATCACAACACATCTTCTCACCGTGTTTCATTTGCATTTCAGAAATCCCCGTGGTCAACCCGACAACCGCCGTGAGCAGCACCGAAGAGCCGGCAGGTCCGTGTTGCACCACCGCACACACTCAGAACAAAAACACATTTCCTTAATTCTAGACACGAGTTTGGAGGTGCATTATAAATATTAATGCAGGCGGCCCACCTGCGTCTGAATGATCGCAGACTTTTTTCCGACGTGTTGAATTCCTTTCTCCTTGGCACCGTCTCTCGGCCTGACTTACTGTACGGCGGGGCCTGGAGCATGTGGAGCCTCATGCCAAGGCCACTGCCGATAGGCCCAGGCTCGCGCATAATTAGTTACACTTGAGTTTGTGCGAAGGTTTTAGCTGAAAAGGAGAGGGCTGCAAAGGCGGGAAGGGAGCGCTGGGGCGTGACTGGCCTCTGCTCAATCACACACTTTTATTTCTCCTTCAGTGGATTCATCGATTCCGAAGATATAGACTTGGAATGTTTTTGTCTGTCGTCTTTACAGTGTAGTCTAAGGCCTTTGTTCGTCCCACAGCGAGGAAATGTCAGTGTTGCATCACTGAGTGCAGACAGTAGGAATGAGGAGCACACATGAAATGAAATCTTTATCCTTAGCATAATAAAGTAAATACCGTAAATTCCGGACTATAAGCCACTGCTTTTTTCCTGCATTTGCTGCGGCTGCGGGTTATAGTAAGGTGCGGCTGATAGTAAGGTGCAGCCATGGATCTATTATTTTAACTGGATAGGGTATTACTAGCTTGTAGCTGAATAACTCATGTGCTCAGGGGATTCTCGCGGTACTGCAGACTGAACCAGACTAAATTCACGTGGGCTACCCAGAAATTTTCCCCATAGAACTCAATGCATATTAAAACAGCTCAACCTCAGCTGACAGAGAACCTGACAGCTTTAATAAAGGTCGGATTTTGTGGGGATTTTAGTGTCCCTTGTCATCCTGAACTTTTTTTCTTCTTAAATCCTTCGGTTTTCTTTAAATCCACACTTTAGTGCCACAAACTCTGCTCGTCTGGCTCTCGCTCTAACTCCCGCTCTGATGAACTGCTCTGATTGGTCAGAGCGCGGCCGAGCCCCTCTGTGCACGTGCGTGAGACCCGGTGTGAGACCCACACACGCGTGTTTGGCGCAACGCATTATGGGAGATCATCCACTGCACAGAACCGGGAGGACCAGACGATGCCCAAATACAGGCGAGTTTCCCATAGATCTTTGCGAGTTCCAGGCGACTTCCGCTAATCTTTCAGCCCCCATGCTGTCACAAAGCGCCACTGAGCCCAACCATTCATTTGAATAGGGCGCCATCTTGGATTGCCGGGGCTTGGGTGCAGCTTATAGTAACGTGCAGCTTTAAGGGAGGTGTGGTTTATAGTAAGGTGCGGCTTATAGTAAGGTGCGGTTTATGGTAAGGTGTGGCTTATAGTAAGGTGATCATAAATGGCGCCCTATTCAAATGAACGGCTTGTGCTCAGTAGAGCATGGGACTTCACGGAGACCGGGAGATTAGCAGAACTCGCCTATATTTGGGCATCGTCTGGTCCTCCTTGTTCTGCGCGGTGCTCGAGCTCCCATGATGCTTTGCACCAAATACGCGTGTGTGGCTTTCATGCACGTGCACAGAGGGGCTCGGCCGCGCGCTGACCAATCAGAGCTGCTGATCAGACCAGCAGCAGAGCGGAGCCAGAGCGGGAAGGAAACGAGCAGAGTTTGAGGCAGTAAAGTGTGGATTTAAAGAAAACCGAAGGATTTAAGAAGAAAAAAAGTTCAGGATGACAAGGGACACTAAAATCCCCACAAAATCTGATCTTTATGAAAGCTGTAGGCTCTCTGTCAAGTTCTCTGTCAGGTGAGGTCGTGCTGTTTTAATTTACATTGAGTTCTATGGGCGACAGTAGCTCAGTTGGTAGAGCATTGGCCTTAAGGCCAGAAGGTTGTGGGTTCAATTCCTACCTCTGCACCTTCTCCACCTACTCCCACTGATGACTGCTGTCGTTGTGTCCTTGGGCAAGACACTTAACCCCACTTTGCCAAAAGCCCCCACTGAAAGATCAAGGCTATGCTCACAGTCAGAGAGCAGCCGTCCTCCTGTGGACTCACCACCTGCAGAGGGTCAGTGAGGGGCTGGTGCTATGAGACTTGGGTGGCATCTCTGACTGTCACCCCCCTGACCCAGAAATGGATCAAAGGGTAGAAAATGGATGGATGGATGGATGAGTTCTATGGGACTTTTTTCTGGGTAGCCCGCGTAAATTTAGTCTGCAGTACCACAGGCGCCCCCTGTGCCCATGGGTGGGATTTATTATAGATCCATGGGTGCGGCTCATAGTAAGGTGCGGCTGATAGTAAGAAGCAGCTTATCTTTTTAGTATTGTTTTTTTAGATAGCCCCAAAAACATTTTAGACTAATGTAGATCAACAGAATTGATGAGTAGGTCATGGAAAATACTTGAAATTATACTAGAGTTTCGTATTATGTGTTTGTTTGTTACCAAGCAAATTAAAAACTATTTAAAAGTCCTGCAAATATCTCATATAATAAATCGTTTGTTTGGTTCTTGGTAGAAACATGAAATTGAATAGACCAGTAGAGGTTGCTCCTTATCTTTCTGCTTCACACTGGAAGATTAAGAAGTGAGTCACTGACTGTTCTCACTCTTATTACTCAAAGTAAAAAAAGAAGACTAAAGCTAAATTTTTCAATATTACAATGTCGGACCGGTGCGGTTTATAATCAGGTGCAGCTTATAGTCCGGAAAACACGGTACAAAATCTCTGACTTGGACTGTCATGGACTGTAGGGAGGTCAAAAAAGTGCACTGGGGATCTTGGTGGCATCCTTTAGTGCCCAATGAGATGTATTTTTCTCAAAGTTGTCTATTTGCCAACAACAGATTAGATAATCAAACACACAGAGCTACTGGTCCATAAGGGACAGAGACCGATGTCCATGAATGTCAAGAAATCTGACTTTAAAAACAACCCAAATCTCCAGCTCCTTCCACAATCGAGCGTGTGTGTGCGGCCCCCTGGGAAAGCCGGGGTATCTGATCTCACATTCACCTCAGGCTCCACCGACCAGTGCCCCATCTCCTTCTGTAACATCCAGGGCTTTTGTGGAAGGGGCGTGGGGAGCAATTTGTCCTTGTCGCGGGGCCCTGAATGGCTCTAAAGGTTCCGGGAGCAACTATCTTCTGGGTCAGTTGGCAGAAAGAGGCTCTTCATGGGAACTGTCCACACTGTCCCGGTTTGATAGGATTCCAGCGGCGAAAGACTTTTTTTATTTATAGAGAAGTGGTGTGTTGTTTCAGACTTGTGGACAGCAAAACATAACACACAAACAGGATCTCTCACTCGCACAACACAAAACACACACAGGTGGAACTCGGAGAAGTAGAATCCGGTTTATATCCGTGATTCAGCTTAAATGTGAGACCAGTATGATACAGACTCCAAGTGACTTTTGTTTTTATAATGTTTGCTCAAAGTGAATTTTTGTTTTATTTGGGGTTTTACAGCTTTGAGCCAATTATTAACATTATAACAATGAAAGCTTGTTAGATATACAGTATATATCTGTGTGTAATGATTCTGGTATATTTTAGTCTCACAATGAAAGTTAAAAGTAATGAATTTGAACACTTCAGATTTTCCGAGTTTCACCTGTACACACACACACACACACACCACAAACACGCTCTCATCACAAACACGCACATTCACACTCACACACACATATACAGACTCACTCACGCTCTCAGAGAAGACACATGTCTAAAAACTCTCCGACCCTACACCTCTCTCCCACTTTTTTAAAATGACCCCAGACAGTTGCTCCTCGCTCTGAGACACATTGATTTTCCAGGACCCTCACCATTAATGGACATTGGTCTCTGCCCCTTATGGACCAATGGCTTTATGTGTTTTTACCATTCTACGTCAGTTCTACGTCTATTCGTAGAATTACAGTTACATTAGGTAACTAATATTTGCATTTCTTGTGTTTGAACTGCTTGATTCTCTAATCTGTGTTGAGAAATCAACAGTTTAGTAAAGTCCTCAGAGATAAGTACTGTTGTAATTTAGGGCTGTGCAAACATAAATGTAATTGATTTTGAAGTTCTAATGAATTCAGTCAGTATTTCCTCCTCCTCGTCTGTAGTCCTGAACCTTCTGTGGGTCTGTGGACATTAGATCCTGATGTTCTTCTTCTTCTGTGATCAAAGGCTACAAGTGAGATTTGTAACACTCTCCTCTCACTTCAACACAATCACTAAACACAGGCATGTCCAAACTCAGGCCTGCGGTTCAGTTGTGGCCCCCCCCAGTCTTTTTTCTGTGGCCCTCTGCCTACACAGTGTCATCCAGCCAGCTTTAGCTGCACCAATACATGCATACTTCGCAAACTGACATTTGTTTTTTATTGACATTTGTCTTAAGCCAAACTCCAGCTCTGTCAAATATGAATCAACATGAAAATGGCATATGTCCTTTTACGCTCAGAACCAGTAAAAATTGTTTTATGAACCGTGTTGTCGGCCCCTGGACAGTTTTGGCGAGCTAAAGTGGCCTTCTAACTAAAAAGTTTAGGCCCACCTGATTTCTAGATCTCTCAGAACAGTCAATTTGACGGCTTTTCAGTTTGGAAGTGTAAATACTCATTTCAATGTCATTTTGTTCATGAAATTATTTCATAGTCTGGTCCTGGACCGGTCCTGGACTGGTAGTGCTAGTTACTATAGCAACATCCTGTTTACTTGCATCAATTAGCATTAAGATAAAAACCATATAAATTACTAAAAAAGCAGTGAAAAACACGAGTCGTTCTTCTCGCGGTCACCATCAGTCCCTCTCGCCTGCGCACAAACATCGTCATAATTTGCCGACACAACCGTGAAAGTCGAACGTTGCATAATTTCACCGCTGTCTCCAAACAATGTGCTCACTCGGATCCGTCCCCGACACGCCAACACCTCTGCAGTGCGTGCTCAGGGTTGCCAGGTCTTCTCCTCTTCTCTCTTTGTTCCTATAAAACTCCCCACACTCTGATATACAGCCAAGCCTCCTGGACATTTTTATGGGCTCCCTGGTCCCCCGTTCAGTCCTTCCATGGCTCCAACCGTTCTCATGCGAACCCCAAAAAAACCTTTGATTCTTCTTTCCCATGGCAGGTTTTTCCTAATTGAGATATTCCGTGTTCACTTTCTTTGGATTCCGAGTGTGTTTCTGTTTGAAGATGCGGGGGAGGCTGGTCCATGTGGTTTTTGAGTTGAGGTGACCCTAACATTCCAGCTGTGACAGTGTGTGGCGTGTCCCTCTTTCGCTCCGGCTTTTCGCCCATCGTCCTCATCCCCCCCATTTCTTTCTTTAACCCAGGGGTCTTCCTCGATTATTAAACTAATTGCGTCTAAAAATGAGGCGCCGTTTCATTAACCGAGCTTGTATCTTTTCATCTTCCCTCGCTGCGGTAATAAGACGTCGGAGAGAGAGAGAGGCCAGTGATTTCATCTGTTTCGAATGGTTCGCTAGGTTTTGTTCCACTTCATGAAAAACATATTTGGTGATCACAGAGAATCAAAGGTCCTGAGCTAATGTGGGCCGGGCCGAACGACTATTTCAGGAAATCTAAAAACACAAACAATGACAAATAATGACATGCATGTGCTGCTCAGATCCCACGGACAAACGGCTCCATGTTTGTCCTCGTTATGGCTCTCGCTGCCACGGAAAAGCAATAAACTAGTATTTTTTATCAACATGTTTATGTCGATTTAAGCCTAATTTATTTTGTTTGGATTAATGTTGCTCAAAAAATAATCCCTGTGTTCTCGATCTCAATAAATGTCAATAACTTGAAACAGAACTGCCTAAACTTTCTTTGTGTTTTGATTTAACACTAAAATCCACCGAATGTGTGGAGTTTGCATGTTCTCCTTTGTCTGAGTAGGTTTCCTCCAGGTGCTCCGGTTTCCTTTAACACTAAACAACGTACAATAGGTCTGAATGTAATGCAGGGAATGGAGGGTGTTTGGTCAGAGGTCTTGATGGTCCAGTGTGTTTGGCTCACTTCCGTCATCACCGTGTGGAGAAAACGGAACAATATCTGAACATTGTAAAGTGCTTTAGGTGACTTTGACCTGTAAAAATGTTAAACCAGATTTCAAAGCTTTCCTTTTTTTTTTTTTTTTTTTTTACAGTTTACTCAATTGTAATAACTGCTAAAACGGTTGAATATACCTTAACATACACAAAAACTGTTTGCTGCCATGGTAACTAGCACTTGCTCTGCTTTTAGACAGTCAAAATGATCTTGTTTTTAAAGGATACAAGAAATGTTTTCCTTGGAATGAAGAAAAGCTACAACAGTTCTTGAAATCAGACTAAATTCCTTTTTCCTATTGGAGAATCTTGTTTTGAAGGTGTAGTATGTAAAAATCAGGCCAAAAGTGGTACTGCACTCTTCCTGACTCAGGTTGCCAGATATGCAGACGAACCCAGCTGGGACCACAATATCTGAATAAAGAGTTTATCAACAACAAATCTATAAACAACACCTTTTTCACAAAGATAGAAATCCTGGTTTTATTCCTTGTTTTGTCGGTAATGATTTGAGAATCATAACGAGACATTTTTTAGTTCTGCGCCACATGGTACTTTACCAGTGAGATTAGCTTGACGCGGTGAGTTCTGGCAACCTGGATCACGGACTCACTGGACTTTCTGATTGGTGAAACGGTGGAGGGCGGCACATCGAAATGAAAACAATAACAAGATTTCCGGGCCGGATAACTAATTTTAAAATCCAAATATCTCGGCCGAACTATTATTATCAGTTAAAGAAGTATTTGAAAAGAGCATGTTTTGTTAATGCCTTTTGACAGATTAGGGCCCTTTAAGGACGACTTCACATGAAAATCTTACATATGGCTGCTTTAACACAGTCAGAATGTGCTCAGATTTAGAAAAAAAAACACTTGGTTGAAGCATTTATTTTTTGCAGTGCAGGAAATTATTTTAGGACAGGCCCATTCATAAACGCCAATGCAGTGAAACCATATCAAAACCGCCCTCGCCAAAATCCTCGTTGAGACCCTTGCCTTCAGAATCCACACGGACCCGTTTCTCAGGCATCGCAGTGGAGCGGTCCTGGCCTCCTCCCCGGCGGCGCGTGGGACAAATGGTCGGAGAAGGTCATGTGTTTTCAGTGTGTGGTCTGGATCTTCACGCTGGCAGCCAGGCTCTATTCACATCCACCCAAGCATGAGCTGCTCCACCACGCTCTGCCTCTGCTCACACTCTCCTCTGGTATGCTGCACGGCCTCCCAGCTGCGCCTTCACAACCAATAAATCTAATATCTAAAGAACGACACGGGTAGTCGATAAAGTCTAAAGTTGCCGAAAAACATTCTGTTCAGTTTCAGTTTATTTATTATTTTTATTAAGGCAGAAGCAAAAACGTGTGGGCTCATTACATATTCATGTTACGATACCAGTTATAATTATATGTGTCAATGAATAAACTGAGGCTGTAGATCCAGGACTGAGGCTTTAGACCCAGGACTCAGGCTGTAGATCCTGGAATGAGGCTCAGGACTGAGGCTGAAGATCCAGGACTGAGGCTGTAGATCCAAGACTGAGGCTATAGATCCAGGACAGAGGCTGTAGATCCAGGACTGAGACTGTAGATCCAAGACTGAGACTGTAGATCCAGGACTGAGGCTGTAGATCCAAGACTGAGGCTATAAATCCAGGACTGAGGCTGTAGAACCAGGACTGAGGCTGTAGATCCAGGACTGAGGCTATAAATCCAGGACTGAGGCTGTAGAACCAGGACTGAGGCTGTAAATCCAGGACTGAGGCTGTAGAACCAGGACTGAGGCTGTAAATCCAGGACTGAGGCTGTAGAACCAGGACTGAGGCTGTAGAACCAGGACTGAGGCTGTAAATCCAGGACTGAGGCTGTAGAACCAGGACTGAGGCTGTAAATCCAGGACTGAGGCTGTAGAACCAGGACTGAGGCTGTAAATCCAGGACTGAGGCTGTAGAACCAGGACTGAGGCTGTAGATCCAGGTCTGAGGCTGCACTGATCTATAACTTGCGATGCAACACTGACATTTCCCTTCTCTTCTTCTTAATCTTAATCTTAATCCACTCTCCATTATTACAAGTGAACCCACAGGAAAACGCAGTCCCGTCCCGTTGCCTTCTACATGTATTTTTAGCGGCGAGCTCAGATTTACGGTACATTTTGAGTGGTGCTTTCACAGAACATCAGAGTTTACAGTGTTGTGTTGCCCCAGCTCCCTTTACAGGCCGCACAGCCACAAAACACAGCTGCAGACCTCCTCACACCTGTACTGCCTTCTCTTACAGACTGCGAATCCTACTGCAAGCCGGTCAAGGGGAACCTCAAGATCAACATGAAGAAGTATTGTAAAAAGGATTATGGTAAGATCGCAAATTGTCATCGTTTTGTGTTTTTTTTATGCCTGTTTAAGCAGTGTTAATAAATGTAGGGTGGACACAAAGATTAAAAGTGTGTCAGAATTTGAAGGTTAATGTTGAGGTATATTTGTCTTGATCCTTTGCTTTTGACCCATCTTTTGACTTGAGTCTTCATCATGAGACTTAAAATGTGACTTGGCTTCATCTGTTTTGAGGAAGATAGTTTTGGCTCAAACTTGTTCAATAGAAAATACTGGTTTTGATTTGAAAAAAGAAATCTTTGCAAAATGTCTATTGTTGTGTTGTATTGTGTAGCATGTCAGTCGTCCTTGTATCAAAGAAAAACCTCGAGAAAGAGGGTTGCTATTCTTCAATAAATAAATTAATAATCTTCCTAAAAATCATTCATCGGTCGATCCCTGTTTGGGACCATCCTCACAGGGACATATTAATGAGACAGCGTCTTTCAGAACCGGAGCAGCCGTGTCCAGAAAACAGTTTGCATACATTGGAAAAAATCCTTAGAAAAAAAAATTAAAATACTGCTTAAAATTAAATAAAAAATATCTGCCAATAGATCAAGAAAAAACGACTTGACAAGATTTCTGAAAATAACTAGCCCCAAATGACTTGATTCTATATAAAACCATACATTTTCATTATTTTTTATAGGGCTGTCAAAATGATCGCGTTAATATTTTTCATTAATTGCGTTAAAAAGCAAAAACGTGTTGCTCGTTGAGGCTCAACTGTGGAGCCTCAGGAAGTGTCTGAGTCTCCTCCGTGTCGCCTCCCGAAGCGCAACTAAACTTGTTAAATTAAAGCTGGGGTACCTAATTTTGCACATTCTGAATTTCAAAATGTTAATGCCATTTTATTTGGATTTATTGTTGTTATAATAAACAAATACAGTCATTTATCTTTCCATTCAAACAACCATTTACAGACAAACATGGCATCGTTTAGCCGATAGTTTGAAATGCGATTAACTAAGATGAATACATTTTTAAACTGCAATTATCTTAATAAAATAAAATTGACAGCCCTATATATTTACTTTTTTATGAAACTATTTTGAGAAATGTTTTCTTAAAATAGCATAACATACTTATTTCATATAAACAACAAGAAAAGTAGTCTAGAAAAAAGAAAAAAAAATTGCTTAAAGTTTAAACTAGTAAAATAATCCAAAAAAATAATTACTTTTTCAGTGTATGCTCTGGACTTCCCGGTGCCAGCTTGTTGCTATAGTAACCATTGTCATGTGTCCCCAGCGGTGCAGGTGAACGTCCTGGACATGGAGACCGTCGGGGACTGGGCCAAGTTCTCGGTCAACATTGTGTCCGTCTACAAGAGCCGCGGCGAGCCCCTGAAGCGAGGAGACAACGTCCTGTGGGTGCACATGAAGGACCTGGCCTGCAAGTGCCCCAAGATCCAGATCGGCAAGCGCTTCCTGGTCATGGGGGGCAGCGAGGGCGGGGTCACGGCGGGAGTGAGTCCGGGGGCGGGGCCTGGCAGCGGCGCGACCAATCAGGTGACGGGGGCGGAGCGCGTGGGACTGGTGGCCGACAAGAACAGCTTGGTGATCCAGTGGCGGGACGTTTGGGCACGGCGCCTCCGGAAGTTCCAGCGGAAAGAGAAGAAGGGGAAGTGTGGCAAAGCATGATGGGAAAGCCAGCGTGTGACGGGACACCTCTGAGCCCTGGCCTGTCACAGAACACTGCACACTACAGACTGCATGTACCGACTTTTTCTAAGGACCTCACCTGTGTATATTGTATAATTATTATGCTATTTTTATTTCCATGTTTGTTAGTGTCTTGTGTGTGTGTCTTGTGTGTGTGTGTGTGTGTGTGTGTGTGTGTGTGATGTCACATTTGGTTTGCCTTAAAAAGGGACCATTAAAAAGGGTATGAAGTGTCCACGTTTAGTCCATTCCCTCCATGACGACAGCCCCGTCTGGCCCACGCCTCGGCCCGCAACGCTAACAAGTCAACCATCTTCCCTCACTTCGTTACTACTTCCCGCCTTGAGGTCGCCATGGCAACAGAGAGACAGAGCAACGACGTCACAGTGCGTCGCGATTGAGCCGAACACTTTTTTGGCGTGAGGATAAAGGGCTTTCTATACGCAGAGGACCACCGCTCCCACTGCTGCTGCCTCTGGACCCGCCCCCACTGTCTCTGTGGTACATATTTCACCACTACACAACTACCACCCCCCAAAAAGTGGATTGTCGAGTCGCAAATTACCAACCGCCATCGCGACCTCACGGCTCGCCACGTTTTTTGGAAAGAAAAAAAGTGGACAAATGGCTGAAAAAGGCAGAACAGAACAATAGCCAAGAATGTTGTTGCTGAGAGAGCTGTGTGGCCTGGGATGTGACTATGTGTGTGTCTGTGTGTGTGTGTGTGTGTGTGTGTGTGTGTGGCCGCTGTTGTCTCTCTTTTAAATACATGACTTTAGTGATGTTTAGTGACCGGCGGACGTGTGTTTGCCAAAAGGAAGAGATCGAAACGAGAGTCATTTTTCAGGCGAGTCAAAGAGAAAACAAATTGGGGTAAACAAGCATGCTTTTGTCTTCTGCTGCGCTTCGACAAAACGAATGAGGCTGGAAACTTTTAGCGCTCTCTGATTGTATTTTGACATGAGAGTATCCCATTTCACTCCTCATGAACTCTGCTATGTTTGCATGTTTGTGGTTCGTGCTGCTCCGTCAGAACCGTGCAGCCAGCGCCGAACAGTTAACCCAATCTGAATGTGTTTTCGGATCCAAAGGAAAACCTCCCGAGTCGTCTTCCCCCGTGCCTCGCTGTCATCCGCTGCCAAAGAGGCGTAGTCACTCAGACGAGAGCCTTAAAACTGCAGAGACCGGGTTTTTTGTGTGTATCTGCCTGGTGCTGTTATTTTATATCGTAAGCATATTGTAATTGACTTAAAAGAGAGTGCGTGTGATGACAGCCGTGTCCTGGGTTCTGGCGTGTGTTCGGGGACGCCATGTCCGGTATTTTGGCTTTTTCGACAAGTGACAGCGGAGAGAGAGAGAGAGAGGAGGCTTCTCGAGCGGAGGCCGTGGTTACTGTCCTGCACTAGAGAGAACATGTATCTGAATGTACGTGAAACTGTGAAGAACTCACTCAAAAACGACAAAAACAAACAGGATTCTCAAGCACTTCTTAGCTTCATCCTGGCTATTGACGATTTATTAAGCTAGCTGCGATGTTGATGTCTGTGAGGATTCAGCAACGATAACCGTGTGTTTGTTGGAAGGGAAGGGGCGGAGAACTCATGGTGTTTACGTTGACGCGACTCGGACTTATTTGACTCGACTCCAACTTAAAATCATGTCTACACTGCAAAAAACATGATGAAATATGAGATAATAAATGTTTTTTGTCTTAATTTCAGCACATGCTCTTTTTCTTCATCGCTTTTTGCAGTGTGGCTTTTATTTGTACTTTAGTTTAGTCGGTTAAAAGGTGTACGGGAGGATTTTCTTCTTCTGGGTGGATCATCTGGACCAGGCATGTCCAAACTAAGGCCAATTGCGGCCCACTGTGTCATGTTTTGTGGCCCTCTGCCTTGCTCATACAAAGTACCATTGAGATTATATATACAATTTCATAGTGTCATCCAGCCAACTTCAGCGCCACCAATTTTTGTTTTTTTATTATCTCAGAACCTCTTGATTCCACTCATTTGTGTATACTTACATTTGTTTTCCATTGTCTCACAAAATTTGATGGCACTGAAGTTGTCATTCAGCCAACTTCACACTCATTATTCATTCTTCATACCCAACTTTTCGTTTCAAAATGCCCCGATTCCTGTTTTAAGTCCATGTTGACAAGTCTGGTGAACTAAAGCAGCCCTCAAATGTTTGGACACCCCTGATCTAGACTCTTGGTCCTTCTAAATGTCAATCATTTTGGTGACGTTCGAGACACATTTTAATAGAGAAGTGCGGTTCTTTCCTAAAAATCTTAACATTTCCATTAAGCTTGGACTTGGGACTAAACTCCATTTAGGTCTGGTTCACTTTAACTGGGCCGAGTCTGGTTCACTTTAACTGCACCGAGTCTGGTTCACTTTAACTGCACCGAGTCTGGTTCGCTTTAACTGCACCAAGTCTGGTTCACTTTAACTGCACCAAGTCTGGTTCACTTTAACTGGACCGAATCTGGTTCAACAAAACTCAAAAATCCAAAGGAACCGGGAACATGGACCAGCAAGACCAGCAATGAACACAGAGAGACACAGGTACATACTGCATAGACACAGAGAGACACAGGTACATACTGCATAGACACAGAGAGACACAGGTACATACTGCATAGACACAGAGAGACACAGGTACATACTGCATAGACACATAGAGACACAGGTACATACTGCATAGACACAGAGAGACACAGGTACATACTGCATAGACACATAGAGACACAGGTACATACTGCATAGACACAGAGAGACACAGGTACATACTGCATAGACACAGAGAGACACAGGTACATACTGCATAGACACATAGAGACACAGGTACATACTGCATAGACACAGAGAGACACAGGTACATACTGCATAGACACAGAGAGACACAGGTACATACTGCATAGACACATAGAGACACAGGTACATACTGCATAGACACATAGAGACACAGGTACATACTGCATAGACACATAGAGACCCAGGTACATACTGCATAGCAGTGGCGGCCGGCCAATAGAGGGCGCTAGGGCGCCGCCCCACCACTCACAACTTGCCATGTTACCTTGAATAAAACGTTAAAAAAAATAATAACATTAAAATATTTCGAAATGTATGTGTGTTTTATTTCAGATGTGGAAGAAATACTTTATAGTTTATGCTGAGTTGGATTGATTAAGCTCATCAGCGTTGTCTGTGTCGGACTGAGGACGTATTTCCGCCTCAGGGCGCAAAAGATTGCGCCCTGAGCCGTCTATGGACTCTCGTTAAAAGTTGGACATGCGCAGTAGCTCCTCTTCAATGCAAGAGATAAGACGATTTGGGGGCGCAGGAGAAGTGCGCCCTGAGGGGGCGGGATCGCCCGCGACCTGTACTGTCACTGTCTGTGACGTCCGTTTACAGTGATTGACAGGTCAAGCTGTGGGAGTTTGAGACGAACGTAAAGAGACGCAAAATGGAGAACGAGAAAAAGAATAATTCAGTTAGATTACTCAAAACAATACCGTTTGAGAGAAGATCATACCAGGAGAAGGTTGAGGTTAAAGAGCTTGGACCTGATCAGCCAAATATTACCATTAGTCAGCAGTCCAGCGACAGGGGGAGACGGTACACTCTTACTTTTTCCAGGACCTGGTTCAGCGCCAAATCTTGGCTAGCAGCATGTAGCGAGGCTAATGCTTTATTTTTCTTTCCATGCCTCTTGTTTCAAACATCAGGATCTGACCCAGCATGGATCAAGACAGGTATGACTGATCTGAAGCACTTTTTAGAAAAGGCAAAGAAGCATGAGCAGACTGGTATCCACATGCAAAATGCCCTCAAATTAGCTATGTTTGGGAAGATAAATATTTCATCCCAGCTGGATGAAAGCTACAGGGTAGGAATCAGAAAGCACAATGAGGAGGTTGACAAGAATAGGCACATCCTATCAAAAATAATAGACTGTGTCAAATTCTGTGGTGCATTTGAACTTGCCCTGCGATTCTCGTGTGAGGCTTCAGTCACAACAGTCAGTGTAAACTTACTTACTGCTGGTATATATCTAGTCATCATATTCATAGCCCCCCCAGTAGAAAATTCCACCAGCCGCCACTGCTGCATAGACACATAGAGACACAGGTACATACTGCATAGACACAGAGAGACACAGGTACATACTGCATAGACACATAGAGACACAGGTACATACTGCATAGACACATAGAGACACAGGTACATACTGCATAGACACAGAGAGACACAGGTACATACTGCATAGACACAGAGAGACACAGGTACATACTGCATAGACAGAGAGACACAGGTACATACTGCATAGACACAGAGAGACACAGGTACATACTGCATAGACAGAGAGACACAGGTACATACTGCATAGACACATAGAGACACAGGTACATACTGCATAGACACAAAGAGACACAGGTACATACTGCATAGACACAGAGAGACACAGGTACATACTGCATAGACAGAGAGACACAGGTACATACTGCATAGACACATAGAGACACAGGTACATACTGCATAGACACATAGAGACACAGGTACATACTGCATAGACACATAGAGACACAGGTACATACTGCATAGACACATAGAGACACAGGTACAAACTGCATAGACACATAGAGACACAGGTACATACTGCATAGACACATAGAGACACAGGTACATACTGCATAGACATATAGAGACACAGGTACATACTGCATAGACACAGAGAGACACAGGTACATACTGCATAGACACATAGAGACACAGGTACATACTGCATAGACACATAGAGACACAGGTACATACTGCATAGACACATAGAGACACAGGTACATACTGCATAGACACATAGAGACACAGGTACATACTGCATAGACACATAGAGACACAGGTACATACTGCATAGACACATAGAGACACAGGTACATACTGCATAGACACATAGAGACACAGGTACAT